GAGGAGCGGAGAGGTAACCCTAGTCCCCAAATCTCCAAACGCCTCCTTCAATCCCCAGCACCCGGCCGAAATCCGAGATTCGGATGGCGTCCGGATCGATGGCCGACCGCGCCTCGGTTGATTCCCCCGGCGACGCCACCCACTGGCCGGCGTCGATTCTCCTCGTCCAGGAGGCGTACGTCGCCGTCAGCAGGAACGACACCACGGCCAAAGCCAAATCGAGGGTCAACCATACCGTAGAGGTCACCTTCTGGATCGCCGACCCACCGGCGGTGTCCTTCTACACGTTCCACTGCTCCAAGCCCCCCATCTCCGACTCTGAGGACGCCGACTTGGAAGTTCAGCCACACGTGGTCGGCGCGGAGGGCCGATTCGTTCTTATCCGCACCTCTTTTGCTTCCGGCGACGGCGAGTATGAATTCTTCATCTACAAGGGCGACCCCAGGTCCCCGTCCCTCGACAGCGTCCCGCTTCCCGATGATGATTCGCTGCACGGTGTTGGCGAGTTCGGAATCGTGCCCCGTGGTGACGGGGACCATTATCTCCTGATTGCACTCTGTGACGCAGTGACCTTGAAGGATTACCGACTTCACATCTACTCGTCTGAGGATAGAACATGGAGGACTAAGGAACTGCTCAATCCATGTCCTGGGGTCTCTACGATTACACCCTACAAGGTGATGTTGCTCCAAGATGGCGTGCTGGTATGGGTCGATTTCCTGAAAGGCATGCTGGTGTGTGATGTACTTCAAGAAATCCCTTGTGCGCGCTACATCCCATTGCCCGAGCCATTGCCTGGAAATAGACAGGAAATTTTGAAGCAATCAATCCCGGGAGCTAGCGTCAGGCGTTATCGGGACATCACCTGTGTCGATGGTCTGATCAAGTTTGTTGAGATGGAACACCGTGTGATTGTAACAGAGATTGTAGAAGTTCCTCCCGAAAAGCCATCTGACCCCAGGAGCAAGGATGCGCTCTATGATTCTGACTTGATCAAGTTCATCAAGCGCAAACATGCGGAGATCAAGCCCAAGACGCAGCGCTCAATGAATGGCTGGAGTGCCATGACATGGACTAGGGAGATTGGGTCTGACTGTTGGCTCAGGGGAAGCACTGTTGACGTTGATGACATTTTGGTCGACGACTTAGCGGTTTCGGCGTTGCTGTCTGGACAAAGGAATGAATCCGCTGGGAGCTTGACATTCAAGAACATGTACTCCGCTTGCCCCACCCTTAGCACCGATGGTAATGACATCCTTTACCTCAAGTCATCCAGGAAATTGAGTGATTCATGTGGATGGGTGGTTGCTGTTGACCTTGCGGAGAAGACACTGAAAGTGGAAACACCACCTGGGGCGCACCCTTTTGGAAGATATTCTCCTTCGCGGCAACTATTCCTTCCCTGCGCATTGGTGAACCATCTGAAAATGACTCCAGGTAATTGTTCACCTTCTCTTGTTATCAGCAGGCTTGTGACCCTTTGTAATTGTTCACCTTCTCTTGTTATCAGCATGCTTATGACCCTTTCAGTGGATACGCGCAATGCGGTTGCCGAATTATCTTGTTCCTGCTTAGACCCTTTAACGCTGCACGCAATACATGTCTTTGTAGGGTGTTTAGAGCTACATATGTCACTCTTTGTGGTTTCTGCTGTGAAAAATAGGCTATCTTGTTGTTGTTTTTTTAACCTTGCCTTTATGGCTATATCTTAATCTTGTATATATTGTTTTTGTACGATAGATACAAGACGCTTAAGGGTCTACTCTTTGCTGATTCATACTTACACTGTGTAGAATCCAATCCTAATCTGTGCTGGGCAGCTAGATTTTATCAACTTACAGTGCAGATAAAAATTAATGCCGCAGTAATGCTTATCAAAGAATTCAAATGGTTCTATGCATGGGCGTGCGGATATTTACAAGCTGCATGCTATTTTGCACTCCATCTGAGTCTGCAAAAATAAAATAGCTTCAGCACTACTGAAGCCCTGTTTATGACTATGGCATTGCTTATGAGCTTATCTGTCTTTTGTAGGCATTAAAGTCTCAGCAATTCAGATAGCAGGTAGCTCTGCAAATGAGCCAAATAATACAGCTGTAAGTATTTTCTATCATGTGCTGCCTTTTCATATTTCAAAGAATTCCCTCTGCTAAAGATTATTCTCTTGTGTCTGTAGATCTGTGTTGGTGAGCCTGATTCCTACAAACCTGAAAACAAGCGTCCAAGGCAGGTTTCCTACTCTGTTATGAAAACTCTGTTCTTTGAAGATCTGTGCAATGATTATAAAAAGGGCAGCCCGGTGCATGTAGCTCCCGCTTGCGCAGGGTCGGGGAAGGGTCCGACCACTTTGGGTCTATAGTACGCAGCCTTTCCCTACATTTCTGTAAGAGGCTGTTTTCAGGACTTGAACCCGTGACCTCATGGTCACAAGGCAGCAGCTTTACCACTGCGCCAAGGCTCCCCTTCATCTGTGCAATGATTATCTGTTTTAAAAACCATACCATTGAATATTCTGAAAGCTATTGCTAATTCGTTTTTGCTCATATTTGGAGCTCTTTTGTATAATCGGTTTTGCTGTCCCTCAGGCTATCGGCTAAGAAAGTCAACCATGCACAAGATGGAGCTCAGAGTACTGTACAGAATGTTTTTAGCTCACAGGCCTGTCCTGATCAAAACAATATGGTATGCTGAATCCAGTATGTCTTGTTTCGTATGTGTCATAGACCAAGATTAATTACGATGTGTCATTTCCAGCCTCCACAACTGTACTTCAACAGGTGGGAGCAGCCTGGCTACGGTGGGTACTCACCATGCCCCCCTCAAAACAATCCGGTATGCTGTATTTCATATGCCTGGTTTCCCATGCGTCCATTTGTTGTCATCATACAGCAACATTAATTGGGATGTGCCACTGCAGCCGCTGCCACAATGTTTCAACATGTTCACTGGACCCTGCAACCCTGTGTATGCACCGGCGGCCCCAGCCCCTAACATAAGTGGCTACGGCAATTATCAATCCCTGTGGCAGCAGACACTACTGCCGGAGCAGCAGACAGCACCTAGCAGGCCATTTGGACCTCATGTGGTATTTTTTTCCAAAGCTTATGATATGATCCCATGTCCTCATTTGACCTGCAGCTGTAAAGAAGACAATTTCCTTGTGTTGTATGCTTAGAAGGATCAAGAAATCATGGATACCATGTTTATAAACAATGCTAAGAACTCCAAAAGGAACTAAAATATTCGCATAAGTTTGAATTTAATTCATTTTCATATAATAGGTTACAAAGATGTAATTATTTATGTCTGCTCTGCTGTACCGCTTTTGTCCTGTTTACTACATTTAAATTAAGAAGTTGTTGTTTACAGGCACCCCATCCATACTTCAACAACTGGTGGGGAGCCAGCCTCCATGGGAATTCACAGCAACACCCTGCAGGTATATCATATTCCTATGGTGCGCACTCAGGCAGTGGCAACCAAGGATTCGGTTACCAACCGATTTACCAGGATTACCAATGTTAACCATGTTTACTGCCCCCCTCCGGTAAGCACACTACAACCCTTACTGTCTTAAAATTTCCTGAGTTAATTTGAATCGGAGTTATTAACTAGCATATAATTAACTGCCATCAGTATATATCACATAGTTGGCTCTGGTGAATTGTTTTGGGAGGCTTGTGTTTGCCTTCAGATTGAGGGCTTGGCTCCTGGAAGCATCACTTTCAGTTTTTCTTCTTAATTTTCACTAGTTGTATGCGAGAAAAAGATAAAATGATGAGGTTAGGGATAGAATCCGCGACCCATGCTCTGTTGTAAAGCACGCCTGCCATCACACTACGGCAATCAGTGTCTTAGTATAGGTTCCTGCTTATTTTATTCCCCGGGTAAAAATAAGAGCTCGGGAGCCAAATCCTTGTGGCAACTACCATCCATAGTGATAGCAACTAACCCCTATTCAGTTGGTGCTTCACAGTAAACATATAGTGATGTTTGGATTTCATGCAGTCAAACATTGGTGCATATTATGATGTGCTGCTATCACCTTTTAAGGACAACACCCATGGTGTCAGCAAAATACTATCCTTCTTTAATTTTCTTCTTCTAGGTATCTATTATTTGCTAGTAATTCAGCACGTAATGTGCATCCGAGGCATGTTTCAAACTGAAATTTAGATGGTGGTACAGTTGCCCTTTAAGAAAACTATGTACAAAAATACTAGCCCCACATAGTTAGATACTTTATATTGGAAAAATGTACAAGTAACAGCTGTCCTGTATTAGTATTCGCGGGTGTGAAATATGAAAAAACATCGACTGTTTTGCTGAAGTGTGAGCACATCAGTGAATGGGGCATAACCTCTGAAAAAGAGGTTCTTTGAAAGGAGCAAATGTCTGATCAAGGCATAGTTCAAAAAAGCGCTAGGCGTTAATTGTGCGTTTTGCCACCGCCTTGCGCTTTACTGACCAAAGCGCATGCTTATGCGCAGTTATGCACAGATTAAGCGTAGTTATGCGCAATGCGTTTTGCCAACGCCTAGAGCCTAGGCGCGCTTAAGCGCTCACTTAGGCGCGCCTTTTTTAACTATGGATAAAGGTGTGGTAAGGTTCAGAGGTTGATGGAGAATGTGGGGTTACCATCTAAAAAGCATGGATACAGAGACATGGGCACCGTGATACGCATACGGGGACACAGGATACGGCATTTTCATACAGGGAATTGGGGATATGGTGAGTATATATAATTTTTTTTAAAAAAATATGCGATGTGATGTAGAGTTAAAGACAAAAAAGTTAATGAGAAAGTAACATATATTGCCCTGTTTATTTTCTCCTTTTTCAAGTGCTCAATGATTGGATTAACTCTCCAATGCTATTTGGCCCCCCAAGTGTAGTATGGTTTGGCAATCTCAACTCCCAGTGTGACGCAATATTACAAATACAAACCACAGATTCCACAGCAGCACACAACATGACAAATTGACAACAGAACATAGTCAAAGTAAGAACATGATAAATAACCAAATTGGAGCTAAAAAGACCCAGGTGGTCACATGGTTGAACGGTTCAAAGGCTCACATAGTCTTAACAGTTCAGAAGTACATTACATAACATGGTAGAAACATAAATTAAATAAGCTGAAGCCTGAAGGAGTAAAGGACTGAAGGTCAAGAGTCAAGTGAGAGAATCTATATCTCTTCCTCTAAATCTGGTTCATCAAGGGAAAGATCTGCACCTTCGAGCATGCCAACACCAGTAAAACTCTCAACTCCATCTCTCCTCCAATGTCTCGCATTCGGCTTGGCCCACTTTGATTTGGTTGAGAGCGCCTCGAAAGTAGGCGGTAGTAGTTGTGCGTGAACACTAAATCGGCGGCTCGAGCAGGAGTGAGCTTGTTTCCTTCAGAGCTATATGGATAAAACCGTATTTTCTCCAATTCCTGTCACAACAAGAGGAAGATGCCGGCTGCCCAAGAACCTCAAGGCTAAAATTTTTAACAGCCTTGTGCTCCCCACCATTGCGTATGTTCAAAATCAGCACTTTCTTCAATTGAATCTGGATTTTCAAAGGCATTCATGAAAAAAGCAAAATCAGCAAATTCTTTCTTGATGGGTGTGAAATCATCTTGACCTGGAAAGAACTTTTGAAAGCATTTACTTCTCATTGTAGTGACGTCACTATCATCATTGGGGCTGATACGGCCAGGGACTTCATTAATCACTTGGACTATATTACCTATTAACTAAATAAAATCAGCAACCATGTTCAAGTTAAGACGTACAAATGACAAAACAACAACATCTACATTGTATGTTGGATTTCGTGCGCATTTCATAGATGAAATGGAGACATGGCTCTTCCATGTCGACCAACCTTGTCATTGCATAAATAGGGGCAGTGAAAGAAAACATGTATTCAATTTTTATGTATTCATTGAGAACAAGCTCCTTCACCCTGTGAGCTTTATCTCTGTTTTTCTTTTCTTTTTCATTTGGAAAGTCTCTATGTTTTTCTTTTCTTTTTCATTTAGAAAGGAGGGGATTCTGCGGGATACGCGAGGAAAATAATAGAATCATGGGTCAATCCCAATAACTTAAAACTTCCTCGTTATTTGAAACTAAAGGAGTTGTGATTTTAGATGAGGTGACATGTGACGCTTATCAATATAATGCTTTTGCACAAATGCTTGGACCATCGAGTGTTTCTTCAGACCCGGATTGGCTTACATTGTGTCTTGTGTTGTGTGTGCAGGCTTACATTGTGTCTTGTGTTGTGTGTGCAGGCTTACATTTCGAGCTGGGGCTGAACAGTTGAGCTGTCTGCTTCATCCTTGGACCAAATCCGAGCTAGCACCGGAAAATTAGCGTGTTTCGTCTACAATACCAGGATTGATTGTGCCTCACGCATCTGCCTGTGTCTTGTCCATATGAACTCTCTATGCAATTAGCTGGGTCTCTTGCTTGCATGCAGTCGGAGCATGTCGTTATAGCGTCACTTCTGCTCATTTTCTGAACTCCAGGGCTGAACTGGTACCCCCTCTGAATGCCTTCTTGTATTATTGCTAAAGACATGGACCCTGTGTGTCAACGGTTGTGCCATTATTGTGCTAGGATGTTTCCAAAACGACTTCCCTGGCATATGTCATTGTTGTCTGTTGTGACATGGATCGGTTTGAGATGTATGCGTATTAAACCAGAACGACTTCCCTAGCATGTCATTTTTCTCTAAAAATACACTTTTAGAAGTTAAGCAAGGATGATGGTATGTCATGCTGCTGAGGTTTGTCGCTCATGGGAAGGTGGGACGTGGGAGCGACCTTTGCAAATTGTGGTTTTGACTTTTCATGGGGCTAAATTCAGTCCAGTTTTTTAGTTGGGTTTCTGTTCTATTCACGCCCACTTTTGACGACCGGCATAGTCGTCATCCTGAGTAGTGGCGCCGGGGGAGCTCCTGTACGGCGCAGAAGGCTGCGCCGTGGAGGGGCCTTCATGAAACTATTGCTCTAGGAATAGCGGAATTCGAACTCGGCACACAAGAGTTAGACAGCAGTAGCACATAACCGCTGGGCCGAGATAACATCGTTGTCTACAACTAGGAACTAGTACCATTTGAGCTTTCCTTCAGTTAACACATATTATATATACCTAGCATAAATTATTTTGAAAAGAAAGTATGAAGTAAAAAAACAATTCTAAAAATATTGAAAACAGCCACGAATTTGGCAAAAAAAGGTTAAAAAAAGGTTCAAATTATTGTTTAAAAGTTCGTGAATTTGAAAATGTGCATGAAGTTTTCAAAAAAGTTCACAAAATTTTAAAAAAGTTCACCGGATTTTAGAAAAACGCATTAAATTTGGGAAAAGTTCATCGGATTTGAAAAAAGTTCATTGAATTCGGAAAAAGCTCATCAGATTTGAAAAAAGTTCACAAAATTTTAAAAAAGTTCACCGGATTTAAAAAAAGTTCATCGAATTTGAAAAACAGTTCATTGGATTTGGAAAAGGTTCATCAAATTTGAAAAAAAGTTCATCGAATTTGGAAAAAGTTCATCAGATTTGAAAAATGTTCATCATATTTGGAAAAAGTTCATCGGATTTGAACAAAGTTACTCGTATTTCGAAAAAGTTCATCAATTTTTAAAAAGGTTCATCAAATTTTAAAAAATTCACCGTATTTGAAAAAAAGTTCATTGTTTTTATTAAAAAAAGTGAGAGAGAAAAATTATTTACTTTTCAAAAAGAACAATTTTTTTTAAAGACGCATTTAATAAACAAATAAAAATAACAGAAGAAAAAAGAAAGAAAAGAAAGAAAAGAAAAAGAAAACCGAATAAAATTGCACCTGAAAAGGAGTTCCCGCGACTTGAGAAGGAAATAAAAAGCTGCAAAGAAATAAAAAACCAGTGGTAGTTCTGTGGCCTGGTTTTTTTTTTGGCCTGGTGGTTGCGGTCGTTGGCGTAAAAGAGCAGATCTTGAGTTCGAATTCTTGCGGGCGCAAGTTGTTTCAGCTTTCAGATCTTGAGGTCGAATTCTTACATGGGCCTGCCCAGTCGCAGCAGAATGGGAGGTGCGATGCAGGCGCCGGTTAGCAGAAAACCGAACAAACAGGCGCCTGCAGCGCCAAATAGGGATTGCCCGCCGTGGAACCAACGACCGCTGGTGCTCAGTTGGGCCGGCCCACGAACGCGAGCGTTCGGAAAAACCACAAAACAAAGTTGCTCTCTACAGGATTAGAACTCACGCGAGCGTTCGAAAAAACCACAAAACAAAACCACTGGAACTATTCGATTTCAGTGACTGATTAATGGTGCCAACAGTATAAAAATAATAGTGGCCTCGCTATTTACATTTAGATTTTTGAATTATTTGAAGGAAAGAAAATTGTAAATATGTAAAGGATCATCGATTTTGAAAAACAGTTCATCTTATTTGCAGTAAAAGTTCAAAAACTTGAAAACTCTTCATTGATTTTGGGAAAAAGTTCATGAAAAAAATCATTGATATTGAAAAAAACTCATCGATTTTG